CTTTTCTACATATGTGGGCAATAAGCAGATACTGCTTTATTTTAGTTGTAAGGGTTTGTAGCAAGTATCATCTCTTTCATTCTTGGGATAAGTAGATTATCTAATAGTTTTTGACTTAGCTGTCTGAAGAATGATATCTACTAAGATAAGGTGGGCATTATCCCTATCAGTATCATCTTACAAGAACTGATCAGTTTTACCTAGTGTGAAATAAAGTTCCATGAACAAAGACTGCATTTTGAACCTTAGTCTCACATACACGGGTCTCTTGACACCAGGTAGAATAAGCAAGAGAGTGCAGTTCACCCAGCTCTAGTTGTCTTACCAGGACAGTCACTGAAAGCCAGGAGACGCTTGCCTCAAGCTGGTAAAACAGCTGCAGCAGCCCCAGATCCTGTCATCTCTCACAGTCAAACCTCAATTCCGGACATCTTAACCAAAGCTCATTGTACCTTGCTGATTCTGAACTCCAATCCCTACAGCCAGTAGAGTGTCTTGCATGTATGTGCTCAGATCTGAGTATTTGCTTTACCCAAACTGTATGGATCAAGCATTGGAGAGGTATGGTTCTCAAAATACTTGTTCAGGAGAGTAGAGTAAAAATAGATAGGGCAGTGAGAAGTGACAGATGTTCTTCCAAGTAGGGGCGGTGGTAGAGGCTGTGGCACTCTCTTTGAGAGTGTAAGATGAGCGCAAGATGAGAGAGTGGCTAAAGCTTTACACACAGATTATTAGTCCCTAGAACCAGTTTGTCACCTACATGTATCAAATCACAACATTTGGCAACTATTAATTTTATTCAATGCTGTATTGCACATGGTTCGAGGGGAAAGGTTGAGAGCCATGATGAGGAACACGAAACACACGATTGTACTGCATCAAATAGACAATGCTTCAGGTAGAAGAAATAATAGTCTCACTCAACATTTTAATTTAGACTCTTGGATTAGTGTTCTGAGTGGCTGTTCTTAATCATTATTTGGTTTTCTACTTGCTGAAATTCCATTCTCATGTTTTATGTTCTCATTGATCAGGTATTGTTCAGGTTTTATTTTTCCACTAAAGAATGATTCTGGATTTCAGCAAAACCAATTTTAAAACTTTCTGCCAACAAAGCTGTTGAGGAAATTCACACTTTCATTTTTGGTCTGCAGTGGTGGTGCCTTTCTCATGATCATATGGGACAAGTATTCAAATAGAAGAGCTTCGATGTCTTTTCTTATCTTCCCATGTCCTTTAATTTCAGTTGCTGCTAGGTGTCCTGAAGCCAATGCTTCCCTTCCACACTGTCAAGAGAGAAAGAAAATACGCCTTCATTGGCTACTGTCCTTAGAATGGCTTCTAAAACCAAGCAAGAAAACCACGGTGATCTTGGCAAACAAACAATTGAAAAGTACAGGTGCTGGGAGTGTGCACAGCCCCAGAATCAATAAGACTTGGGAGGAGAGGGAGTTGGAGAACAAAGAAAGGTGCTTTTCATTCAGAGAAATTTATTTCTTGCAAATATTTGCGATCTGCAGCCGATAGCACACGGGACCACTTGGCATTGTTTCCCGACAAAGGGGAGGGCTGGCAACGACGAGCAGATGCTTGAGTGGACTGTGGCGTGAGGTGCGCCATCCATCAAGAAGATCAATATTGACCCTTCTTGTATCTTTGTGGTGAAAGTTTGCTCTTCTTAAAAAAAAGTTGGGGGTTGTGCTTTAATATGTAGTGTATGGGTTCGACTTCAGGCACCAAATCAACAGAAAGCAACATGGTCTTCACAGAGAGGAATCAGTACCCTCCTCCCGGCCTGGTGACAAGATGTAAGGTGTTTTAAGGAGCAAGAGGTTCCTGGCTCATGACAGGGACAATCTTTTCTCCATCCATCCTTTGTCATTTCAGTTAGTCATACTCTGAGGAAAGGCACTATTTGAATATAATACTGCATTTCAAAATATGTCTTAAGACATAAATGAATTCCACTCAGTTCGACTCAACATATATCCATACAGTAGCATGTCTCAGGTAGTAGGAAATGTGCTGGGCATTGAGGTGGCCAAGATGAAGAAGACGAGAGTCACTGCCTCAGCTTTTTGGTGCCTCAGTTTCCCTAGTTTGTCATACTTAGACCACAGAGAAGCAAATATTGTAAGATAGGGCACGGTGGGGAGAGGTAGTTTAATGACAATTCATGTCCAGCCTCCTATACTATAGAAAGGTCTTTGTGTTTGGCCATTAGATCGGAGTGTGGTCTGCATCTTTAACCTGCATACAGATCAGCTGGGACCTTGCTAAGAAACAGATCCAGATTAGTAGTAGGTCTCGGAACAGAGAATCCTAGAGAATCTCCTTATCTAGCAAGCTCCCAGGCGATGTTGGCGTTGCTGGTCCCTGGGCCACATTTTGAGTAACAGGAAGCTGCTTATTATGTGTATCGACCATCTGTGATGACTGTAGATTGTGCATTGCCCGAGCTTCCTCAGACATTTCAAATCGAAATTGGCATTTTAAAATGTTCTCCAGGTGCTATTCATGCTTGGTGAAGTTTGAAAACCACTGTTCAAAGATAAGAAATCACAGCACTGTTAAGAAGGCGAGTGCCATATTTAGACTTGGGGTTTAGAAAAAGAACATGGAGCCGGGTTCGGTGTCTCAGCCTGTAATCCCGCGCCTTGGGAGGCTGAGGTGAGTGGATTGCCTGAGCCCGTGGGTTCGAGACCCACCTGGGCAACTTGGCGAGACCTCATCTCTACAATAAATCAAAAATCAGCCGGGCGTGGTAGTGCGCGCCTGTAGTGCCAGTTACTTGGAAGGCTGAGGTAGAAGGATCGCCGGAGCCCAGCAGTCGAGGCTGCGGTGGCCGGGAGTGGCCACTGCACTCCAGTCTGGGCGACAGAGTGAGACTCCAACTCAAAAAAAAAGAAAGAAAGAAAGAAAAAAAAACATGGAAAAGAGAATTTCCTGGAGGTGAGCTTCAAGCAGGCATGTGGATGGCAATGATAATGGGTGGCAGAAGGCTGTGGAGGAGGAATGGGTTTGCAGGACATTGAGAGGGTGGGGTTGACAGGGTTTGGTCATACATAGATCTGGGGGACAAGGGAGGATGAGGAGGCCAGGGTGACCTTCTGGGTTCTGGGTTGAACATCTGGACTGTAGGTTGTACTGACATTAAAATGGGAAAGCAGTATGGTGTGGAATTAAGAGTGTGGGCTTTGAAGTAGGAGGGAGTGGATTTGAGACCTGCTTTCAATACTTCCTACTTAGATATCTTGGTATACTACTTAGTTTTTCATCTGAAAATGGGGATAAAGGTTGTTTCAAGGTAGCGGTAGCCCCGTGTCCAAAGGTGGAAACAGGAATACAGAGAGGGTATGTTGCCCTAGCTCATATGTACAGAGGGGAGTGGAGATGAGATTTTGATGTGGGCATTTGCGATTCCACTATTATCTTTGAACTATTATCTCCAAGGTGGTCCATGAGAAGATACTCTTCAGGTGGGCAGTGGCACTAACCAAGTCAGGGAAACAGTTTTTCTTTCATTACACTTTCTCCCAAGGGTCTCTCTTAGTATGTATTATTTCCGTGGTACTTCTTTTCCTTTACAATGGCAGAAATTCCTTTCCTTTCATTCCTCTTGGCTCATTGGTGATGATTTTTTAAATCTTTCACTTAATACCAAGCAAATACAGAAATAAAGAAAATGCTGGAAGCCAAAAAGGCATATAAATTAAAGGTTTCAGACACTATCTCAGTTAATTTTCCATGCCCTGAGACTGGTATAACTGGCCTGGGTCGCTCAGTTCCTAGTTTTTTTTTCCCCTGTCATTTAAGAGATATGTGTCCTTTTAAGCTTCTATCCCTGCCTTCCTGGTCTGTAGTCATGGCAAAAGGAGAGTTCCTACTCTGATGTCCTCAGAGGACCCCCTACTTAGCTTAAAGCTTCTGGCTTGAGACACAATCCCTTTTCTCAGGGAATGGGTCGAGCTGGGTTGAGTGCTTTGGCTGTGTGACGTATTAAAAAGAAAACTTTTAAGTATGATCCTATTCCTCATGTAGGAATGGTTTAATATCTTACAGACCCAGTAAATTAATGCAATCCCGAACACGTAATATTCATAATATCTTAACAATACTATTTATTTGATAATATCCAATATTTCAAGCAATGATATTTATGCCATATCCAAATTGATAATATTCAATTATATCTAAACAGTAAAAATTACACAGACACTAATGGGTGATGGGTGTTGGTGATATGTTTCCTGGGTTATTTTAAATTCAAATCAAATCAGATTATCCTTATTTATAACCTTGTTTTGTGTTACTTATTTAATATCTTTGTAGATTTCCCCTCTTTATTTTCTATTTTGGTTATTTTAAGGTAACAAAGTCTAACTTGAGAACCTTCTTATCTCCATCTTCTGAACCCTAACCTCTGCCCTGCCTCTCCACCCTCTGGCACACTGGTTATTCTCTGCACTTGGAGTGACCCTCACCTAAGACATCTCATGGCTGCTTCCTCTCTGCCTGTGAGTCTTTGTTCCAGTTGCATTTTATCCGAGAAGCCATCTCTTACTCTTATGCACGAATTAGAGCACCACCTTATCATTTTCCCATGTCTTTGCTTGTTTTTCATCTTGACAATAGAAAAAATCACCTTCCAATGTATCATAGATATGTTTATTTTTTGTCATCTCCACTAAAATGTTAATTTCATGAGGGCAGGAACTTCATCTCTAGTATCCTCAGAGTCTAGAACAATGTCTGGCATGTAGTATGGCCCAATAAACACTTTTTGAATGAACACAAAATAAGTTAATTAGCCTCTTCAATGAAACACACAGGTGACTTGAGTCAGCTGTGATAGTATTCAGGGTTCTTTCATTTAAAAAATAAAGACAAACGCTTTAAAATGTTACTCATTTAGGGGTGTAAGAATAGTAGATGGCATGGGGTATTTCTGAGCCACAGATCTAATTTTATTTTGTGCATTTTTCTCCTCTACCCTATAGCACAGCCCTCATCATGCAAGAACTGCCTTACCCTGCTCCCGATTCATTTCTCACATGAAGAATTTCTCTGAATCTCTTAGTTTTGGTAGTCAACGCTGTCTACGTTTTCCAGGTACATTAAGAAATAATCCTAAGAAACACTGGAGTTTCTAAAAAGTACTCTGAAATATGTAGTTTGCTTATCCAATTATCAGCTGAAGAACATTTGGGTTGTTTCGGTTTGGGGGATGCTGTCTTGGAAGTTTCGTTAAGTTGATGAAAGTGTTCTATATCTTAATCGTGATAGTGGTTACAAGTCCATATACTTGATGAAGAGAGTGAATTTTACTGCATATAAATTATAGGTTAATAAACCTTTAATAAAGTATACTTTAATAATATTTTAAAAGCTTACATACAAATTTTTTTTTCAAAATATGAGCATAGGAAAGATGAGAAAAAAAAATAAATGAATGAATGAGAGTAACCCAGGGTTGAAGAGGGCTGGGGTTATTTAAGATACGGAGATCAGAGAGGAGCTCTCTGAAGAGTTGACAGTCAGCCTGAGATATGTGTATTTGGTGTGTTTAGAAAAGATAAGAAACCAGTGTGGCCAGAATAAATAAAAAATGGGTGTGAACTGAGATTAAGAGGCAGGCAGGGTCCACACTATAAAGAGCTTTCTAGGTCACAAAGAGAAGAGTTTGGGGATTTATTCGAAGTCAGTGGGAGGCCATTGAAGATTTTACATAGAGCCATACCCCTTCTCACTTACTTTTAAAAATGATCAAGCCGGGCTCGGTGGCTCAGCCTGTAATCCCACGCCTTTGGAAGGTTGAGGTGAGTGGATTGCCTGAGCCCGCAGGTTCGAGACCCGCCTGGGCAGCGAGACCTCATCTCTACAATAAATAAAAAAATCAGCCGGGCGTGGTAGCGCATGCCTGTAATTCTGGCTACTCAGAAGGTTGAGGCGGAAGGATAGCCGGAGCCCAGCAAGTCAAGGCTGTGGTGGCTGGGAGCGGCCACTGCACTCCAGTCTAGGCAACGGAGTGAGACTCCAACTCAAAAAAAAAAAAAAATTAAAAAGAAAAATGATCACGCTGTTGTTGCTTGGATGCTTAATTGTAGAGGGAAGGAAGGACAGGGAGACGTGAGGAAGCAGGGAGACCACAGGAAAAGTCCGAGTGAGAAATGAAGGGGAGCCAGATGATGGTAGTGATAGCGGAGATGAAAATGAATGAGTGAAGTTCGGAAATAATTTTTAGGTGAATAGAACAAATAAACATTGCTAATGCTTAAGATATGAGAGCAAAGAAAGTTATTCAGGCTAGTTTTTCATTTTTGTCTTGAAACAATCTGGGTGACGGTACTGCCATTTACTGGGTTAGAGAGTGCTTGAGTGAGGACCATTTTTAGAAAGGAAAATAGAGAGTAGAATAAGATCTGATGTCCCTCATGGACTCAATCACAAAGTCTGGGGCTTTTGGAGATCGCCATCTTGATTAGCCTGGATCAATTGCTCTTATCCCTGAAATGGCTCCTTCCAGATGCTGCCCCCAGCCCACTGTTTCATGAATAACTCCAGTAGTCTCATAACTTTGGAGTTCTTCTCATTTCTGTTCTTCTTAGGACTTGATTAAGCAAATGTCACCAAACTACAAAGATGCCCACAATAATTCATTGGCTTTTTGAAGGTATGCCCCTTTGAAATACGTTTTTTCACTCCTCCACCAAGAAGCAGAGTTTATTTCTCTACCCTTGGATCTCAGCTTGGTAATGTGACTTGTTCTGGCTAAGGGGATATTGGAAAATATTACATAATAGATACTTTAAAGGGCTTGTGTACTGAGGCTTGTCGAGAGCCCATCCTTCATTCTCCAAAGGAGTCCAAGCTGCTGAGAAGCACAAGGCTGTCACCACAGCCAACAGCAGACAAGTGAGTGAGGCCTCTGCTAGACCAACCTGTCTGCCAACAGTGAGACAGGGGAGTGTGCTCATTCTTAATCTTCCAGCTTGAGCTGTGCTGACACAGAGCAGAACACACAGAAGAAATGCCCAGTCAACCCGCAGTACCGTGGGAAATAATAACTTTTTAATAAGCCAGTTAAGGATTGAATTGGTTTATTATGCAACGAAAGCAAACTGATACACCACTCAGAGTTTCAGTGGTGGTAACCAACCTCAGACCTACCGCTGCCTAAATTTAGTCCATGAATAACCGTATGCTCTGACCTTATTTGCAAATGAATGATGGAGCAAATATAGCACTGAGTCAAATTGGTCAGTGAAAGCAATTAAAGCTGAGCCACAAAGGAAGCTTGTTGAAGTTTTTGGCCAAGATTGACTCCGTGTTACTCCATCGTCAGTGGGGCATCAGCTTCTGATTTTTCTCTGCTGGCTCTGACCATGCCAGGTCCAGGATGATGGCAATGATCAAAGGAGTTTTTGGAGTTCTGAATGGTGGCTGAGAAGCTGAGACTCCCTGCAGAAGACAGACAGAAATTTCCTCTTGCAATGTGCTGAACTGTTTGGCTAAAAGCTCAAATCTACATTTACTGAAAATAACAAGTAGGGATTAGATTGCTGGGTTTTTTTTTTTTTTGAGTCGGAGTCTCATTCTGTCACCCAGACTGGAGTGCAGTGGCTGCTCCTGGCCACTGCAACCTTGACCTGCTGGGCTCTGGCGATCCTTCCGCCTCAGCCTTCCGAGTAGCTGGAACTACAGGCGCGCGCTACCACACCAGGCTCATTTTGATTTATTGTAGAGATGAGGTCTCGCCGAGTTGCCCAGGCGGCTCACGAACCCGCGGGCTCAGGCAATCCACTCACCTCAGCCTCGCAAAGGCGCGGGATTACAGGCTGAGCCACCGAGCCCGGCTAGATTGCCGTTTTGACATGAAATAAACCAAATCTGGGTGGCATAAAGAGAAAATGGAGGATTATAAAGTGAAGGCTAATTTCTTACCAGCTGAATAGAAGTGAAAAAGGAGACAATACTCTTTACTAGAGCTGAACAGACACATTCGAGTGGGCATGCTTAGAGAGGTTTTATTTGTTTGTGACTTTGAATAAAGGTCTGAGCTGGAGGAAAAAAGTCATGAGTCATAAGGAGGTGATAAGGAATTCTTGGGAGAGCAAGAGATGATTAAGAGAGGGGAGAAGATATGAGGGTTGAGACTGTAACTCAAAAGAATGATATTTTAGAGTCTTAGAAGTGAGGAAGCTGAGAAGGCCCATGGCTTAGAAAGGTAGGGAAGGAACAGGAGCTAACTGGAGACATGGTGGCTAGAAGTGCCCAGTCTGGAGCTGGACTTTTGAGTTTGAATTCCAAGGTAACCAATGACTAGTCGTGTAACCTTGACTAAGTTACTTAACTTCTTTGCACGTTAGTTGCTCTAGGTTAAACTGGGGATACTAATATGTCCAACTCATTGGGTTTATTGTGACAGACAAATGTCACAATACAGTTAAAGTTCTTGAAACAGGGCCTGGCCTGTATTCAGTGTTCAATAATCATTAACATCATTGTTACACATTCAAAGGACCTCATGAGTTTCAGTAAGAAGAAAAAGATAGCATCAAGTACTAAGGGAAGGACATAAGAAATGTACTAAGAACACTCATTTAATGTAACACCTAGGATGTCGTGGTAACACTGGCAAGCCCTGGAGCTCAAACTAGGCTGCTGACACTTGAGGAGCGAAGGGGAGATGAGGCTACCAGAATGCAGACTTGTTACAACCTTCAGCTGTGTGACCTTGTGCAATATGTTTAACCTCTCTGGGCCCATCTCCTCTGCCATAAAGCCGTAGGAAGAGGGGATCCAATGATCTAATATGCATTTTAAAAATATTTTTCAGTCAACTAATGAGAACTTGGATGGTCAGCTAGCAGAATGTGGTAGAAATGATTTTTTTCAGATGAGAGGTTTAATGACCAGCCAGAATGTAAGGCATCTCACTTATTTTCCTTGGTGCTGCTGTCTTTGGGCCAGACACACACGAGTACAGATGCAGAGGCATACAAAGCTGTATACATTAATGTGCACACACACAAGTACACACAAATACAAATCATGCTCTTCAGAGATCTATATGCTAAGACTACACTTAAGTAGATTATGCTACAGACCACAGATTCAGCCCACATGAACACCCTCCATGTTCTGGGTGCTCTGCCAGGCATTAGGGGACACACAGATAAGATCGTCAGGGTGATTGTCCTCAAAGAGGGAGATTAGAAATGTACTTAGGACAAGGTAACTGGCTGATGACGAGTTCTGTGATACAGTTGAGCAAATATTTATTATTTTTAAAAGATTTTATTTGTAACTGCCACATAATAATTATACATATTTTGGGGGTGTGGTGTGACGTTTCAAAACATGTATACATTGTGTAATGATCAAATCAGGGTAATTTGCATATTCATCCCTTCAAACATTTATCATTTCTTTGTGGTGAGAACATTCAAAATCTCCTCTGTGGATATTTTGAAATATACAATACAATATTGTTAACTATAGTACCCCTACTGTGCAATAGAACACTAGAACTTATGCCTTCTATATAGCTATAATGTTGTACCCATTGGCCAATCTAACACATATTTAGAAACACTGACTCTGCACCAAGCACGCTTCTGAGTACTGGGGACAGTCACAGAAAAATATGGTTCAAGTCTTTCATGGGTGAGGGGAATATCAAGTTATTTCTTACCGGGAGGCCTCATAAACTTTCAGATTTCTTATGAATGACGTTTACTGATATCAGCCAGTCTCCAATGTCACTGGGAAGGTCTCCAGCTGCTGGCCTCCGTCTTTGCAGTGGGGTGGGGACCACAGCTGCAGAACAGGAGCAGATGGGAAGCAGGAAGGTGAGAGGGGAGCCAAGATCTTGTTACCTGGGCTAATCCAGTTTCACTCGGAAGCCCTCAGCCTCTCCTTCCAGCACTGAAAGCCACGCACTTCTCATGTCGTTAAGTATGCTTCAAGAAGGTTTCTGTGACTGTTACCGTATACCAGCGTTCTTTTGGCTCGGATAGCAGCCTCAACCCAACTCATTCTCTGGGACTCTCACAAAGATCAGAGACCCCTATATTATAGACCACAGAGACGACTCGTTGCTTCTCCCA